TCCGTTTTAATAGTTTTCGATTGATTTTTCATGTTTTTCATTGATTTTGATCCATTTTTGTTCTTTTTGATGGGTTTTGATTGTTTTGAACATGACGGAGGTAGGTGTGGGTGGGGCACGGTGTGGATGGGCACAGCCCTAAACAAATTTGATTTAATCGGATGCGTTTTTTATTGGGCGGGAACTGCGCCAGGTGGGACAGCGTGGGGCACAGCGTTTCCCAATATCCGCACAGTCTGGAGTGAAGTTAGTAAGCCACCAGGTTTGCCAGAAAGGTTGCAATAGTTTTGGCGCATATACTGCACCTGCAGGCTTGCAATAAAGCTGCCATAGGTTACAAAAAAGCCTAGTCAACCAACAGCAGCTGAATCAGGTGAAGAAAAAGGTGCAGCCTTTCAACTGCCAGGGCCTATCATACTGCCACCAAAAAAGTCAATTGTTGACTCCCTTTTAATTCGAGTGAAGCCTAACCCCTTTCATTTTAAAAAGGGCCAGCCACTTCGCAAAATTTCAAGATTTTTTGTGAAGTCTAATCCCTTTCGTTTTTAAAGCGCCAGCCACTTCACAAAACTTCACAAGATTTGTTTGTGAAGTCTAATCCCTTTAAATTTTTCAGGGCCAGCCACTTCGCAAAACTTCACACGATTTTTGTGAAGTCTAATCCCTTTAATTTTAGAGAGTGGCAGGCTGTGGGAGTGCACATTTTAGAAGATTGAATGTGATTGAAGATATGTGTATACTAGTGTTGTGGCTCACCAGCATCTAGTGTTAAGTTGCTTTTGAGCCTGGCCTTCTTGTGATGGCAGAGCTAGAAGGTGAGAGTTTGGCAAGACAATTGGGTGTGAGAAGGGTACCTTTACTGCAAAAGCTAAAATGTTCTTTAGACTAAGGTATAGTAAAACTTTGGCATAACCACTATAGGGTCCAATCTCATACTTTTTGAAAATAAATACAATTTTTTGATTGTGAAAATTTGATTCTTGGTCAAGTCTAATTAATTCCAGAGAGCAGGTGTGCTGGGGGTGTGAGTTTAAGACAAAATGATATAAAATCATGTGTTTTACAGTGCTTTATTGCCCTGGGAGTGCTGGGAACTAGGTCAAAACATTGCCTTTTAGGTAGACAGACTTGTTCAAGTAATATTTGGAATAATCATGCCTATATTAAGAAAGCTGCGTATACAAGTTTCTATGCCAAAGGTTTTCCTCTAGATCTCTGGAATGATCACTTCTATAGCAAAATATGTTTTGCCTTTTAGAAGGTTTTTGGCCTCCCTCGTTCCAAGAGTCTGCGAATATTGCCTTGTCTGCTACCAGGTTCAGGTGGCCCAAATGATC